TAGATAGATAGATAGATAGATAGATAGATAGATAGATAGATAGATAGATAATGAACAGGTCATGATAGATAGATAGATAGATAGATAGATAGATAGATAGATAGATAGAAAGAAATTATATTTCATTTGATATAACGTAATATTGGTCGCTTTAGATGCGCTTATTAAGGAAACATACATAATTACACATGTAAGTATCTGTGTACGTATGTATGCATGTATTTATGTAGGTATATATGTATGTACGTATATATGAACCTATGTACGTACGTATGTATGTATATAAGTAGGTAAATTTGGTTGAAGACCAACAAAAGATTATTTTTTACTATTTCGAGCATTCATTCGGGTTTCCAGGGCAGAATTTGCTTGTAGTTGAAACTGGCCATTTTATTTTCAAAATCTTCCCGGGAACAGGAAAATAATTCAAACCACAGAAAAATTAAATTAAAACAAAATTGTACGCAACAAACAAACTTTCAAAGTTTTTTAAAGAAACCTGCATAAATGAAAAATACTTAACAAATGCAGCCCACACACACGCACGCACGCACACACACACACACACACACACACACACATATATATATATATATATATATATATATATATATATTTCTAAATAATTAACGGATTTATTTTAATCCGATATTTTATTACTTCAAACGTTATTATAATGGATACTCTCTATTGAGGCAGCTACACCGTTTAAAAAAAACAGTCCCCGTTTATTAAAGAGTCTATAATACTTCTATCGTTCAGAGCTTTCCACAAATCTGGTGAAAGAAAAAACACGTTAAAAATGGCGCGTCTATTTAAAATATCGAGTATCCAATATATATATATATATATATATATATGTGTGTGTGTGTGTGTGTGTGTGTGTGTGTGTGTGTGTGTGTGTGTGTGTGAAAATGTGTGTATATAAATATAAATAAAATATATATATATATATATATATATATATAATTATTTATATATTATATGCGAGGTACTTATTAGAAAGCGCTCAATATCAGAGATAGAGCTAATATATTTAGTTGATAGATGTGAGTTTGTGTTGTCTGACGATCGCAAAAAAGCGTGAAACCCAGGGTCACAAACTCACATCAATCCAACCATATATATATATATATATATATATATATATATATATATATATATATATATATAGTATCTTTCGAAAACGTTACGTAAAAATCGCTACACAATTTCAGTCGTGTTTTGAAGAGAATCAAAATATATCTCATCAGAGATTGTACATTACAATCACCTAGTGAGATGTATTTGATACGCATCGAAACACGATTGCAATTGTGTAAAACGATTTTTACACGTTTTCGATGTAATTTCCTAAAATAACTAATATTGCTCTACTTTTATTGAGCCTCATTTAAAATTAAATTGAGAAGGTGTGAATTGTACCATATTGTTCTCTCCTTACACAGACACACACACACACACACATATATATATATATATATATATATATATATATATATACATTTTATTTTTTTAATTGTAATTGAGATGCATTTCTTTTGCGCGCTCTTATTCTTTTGTGAGTCAGCTTTTACATATTTCATATATTCTGTTAATAGGACTCGCCTGGATTATACCAACGTATTCCTACCTGTATGTATATATATATATATATATATATATATATATAATTGTGTATTAGTACAGCAACCACTCTTTTATATAAGTTTCATTAAAGACGACTGACCAAGTAATTAGGCATTTTTATTCTACTTTTATTGTGTTTTTTTTCTGGAAATAAAGTGTGTTTTACTGTCCAAATTTTATATATATATATATATATATATATATATATATATATATATATATATATATATATATATATATATATATACATACAGGTAGGAATACGTTGGTATAATCCAGGCGAGTCCTATTAACAGAATATATGAAATATGTAAAAGCTGACTCACAAAAGAATAAGAGCGCGCAAAGAGAAATGCATCTCAATTACAATTTGAAAAAAAAAGTATACATATATATATATATATATATATATATATATATATATATATATAAAAAACAGACCACTTTAAGGTTCCAAGTAATAAATTATTTCACCACTGCCCTTTTAAAGGGCTCTGGATCATCAGACTTTACTTCCAAATGTTGAAATGAAATATGAAAAGAAATTTACACATTATTGACGGGCCGTATTAAGCATATGTAAATTAACGAAGTGAGGAAGTGAGCCGGAGAGAAGGCGAAGTGATATATATATATATATATATATATATATATATATATATATATAGATAGATAGATAGATAGATAGATAGATAGATAGAGTCATAAGTAATTTTAGTTTTGGGCAATCAATTGTAATGACGAATGTATCGTCCTAACTACTAATTATGCAGGGCAGTTAAATAGGGTAAACTAACATAGATAGATAGATAGATAGATAGATAGATAGATAGATAGATAGATAGATAGATAGATATCCGAAGAGTTTCGCCTATTTTATTACCCGTTAAAACGGATGTTTTTGTTTTTTTTTTTGTTTGTTTTATTTAAATATGTTTAACTCTTGTGATGGGAATGTTTTATTCATTTTCCGGACACGTTCCACACATTGTGCTCGTTGATGTTTTTCACTGTTGATTTGCCTTTTTACCTAAAGTAGAAGCTATTGTAGTCACATTTTCTACTAGTATGTTCCCGATGGACTTCAGTAGGTTTCCGTGTCTGTTTAAATAAGTAATGATTCCTAATTGAACTATGGTCATAAACATATTATATACATATATAGGTGACAATTGGAAAAAAAACTTAGTTTTTGCTGACGTGTTTCGTCTTCCGACTTTTTCTAAGCAAAAATGAAATCGAAATGTTTTTGTTGTTATAATTACATTATAAAATCCAAATTGGAAAAAGAAAGATTCTTCTGAGTAAGCCTTTTTCTGGTTAATGCGAATTTCCTGTATATTAAGATTTTTTTTTCTTTCCATGTCGACAATATAGATAAATTCCCAAGTCAATTCTGTGGACAAGACAAATTGGTATAAGATGACAATTGGAAAAAAATCTTTGTTTTACTACAAAAAAATATTTACAACAAAAAATGCAGTATTGTTTCAATACAACTGGTGTCATATCAAGTGATGGCATTGATTTGCAATCAATACCACCACTTAGTAAGGCACCAGTAGTGTTGAAACAAAATTGCAATTTTTGTAGTGATATTGTAACCTGCATGTGTTATAATTTTGAATAAATATTATTTGCTCTACTTGGTATTGAGCATTCTGTGGAGAATAGTGTCTTTGGTCATTTATCGGAATTGTATTCTATCTGTAACAACTCTGTACTTACACAAACACAAACACAAACACACACACACACACACACACATATATATATATATATATATATATATATATATATATATATATTGATATTTACGTCGAAATAAACAAACACTGAAATATTTGTTAAAATCTTACACGTTAAAAAAGTGCGGAATTCAAATTGTTCGTTCATTCATATATATATATATATATATATATATATATATGAAATAATTAAGAAAGAGAAAACCTTAAGGTTCCATAACTATAATTAATTTTACACACACACACACACACACACACACACACACACACACATATATATATATATATATATATGTATGAATGTATGTATGGATATATATATATATATATATACATGTGTGTGTGTGTATTTATATGTATATGTGTATATATATATATATATATAGATAGATAGATAGATAGATAGATAGATAGATAGATAGATATGTTTGTGTTATAGCTCAGTTCGAACTAATTTTAACACACACACACATACATATATATATATATATAATATAACATAATAATGTTCTTTATTTTGGCTATATTTATATTTGCTTAATATGAGAAAATATTATTCTCGTCGCCTATTATATATTTATATATGTATTCATCTAATAAAATTATTACGTGTGGCATTGCGTTAAAGTAAAATTTAATAATTCTTTAAAATTTTAAAAATTTTTAAGAAAATATTACATTTTTACGGTTTGAACATGTACTTGAAAAATATCAATAACACATTCAAATTATTAGAAATATAAAAAATACTTTAATGCGTTTTTCAAATAGTATATATTGGTGTAAATGTTGGTGTGCATGTTGGAGTGCATTTTGGAGTGCATTTTGGAGTGTAGGTTTGAGTGTATGTCGAATATCCTTGTATCGGTTACGCATTCGAACTGCTGTAGGAACCTCTTTGTTATTCTATATATCGATTTGTTCATAATGAGACAAGTTAAAAACAAAGATAAACGTACATAATCCTTTTACATCTTGTTGATTGTGATTATTTTCTCCTCCTCCTTTTTTGATATTTATTATTTCAATTGGATATAATGTGAGAAAATGTACACCTCAAAATCAAACCAAATGACAACTAGGGTCACTGAATTTGACCTGATTGAAATTGTTTGATAATTTTATTTTATTGTAACAGTGAACTAACAGCTATATACATATATATATATATATATATATATAGTGGACCAACTCTCAAACAGTCCCTATGATAAACAGCCAACTCACTCACACACACACACAAAACACATACACATATATATATATATATATATGTGTGTGTGTGTGTGTGTGTGTGTTGTAATATGTGTGTGTAAAATAGATACATATATATATATATATATATATATATATATATATATATATATAATATGTACATATATATATATATGTGTGTGTGTGTATATATATATATATATATATATATATATATATATATATATATATATATATATGCACGTGTGGGTATATATATATATATATATATATATATAAATAGATACATACATATATAATATAAATTAACAGATTTAAAAGATGGTTTCTTTCACACACAGGAATTACCATGTTTCAAAAACCGAAGCTAAAAGCTTCAAATTTAATTATATAATTAAATTAAAACATTAGTTCTGTTTAATCTCCAAGTTTTCTAATATATATATATATATATATATATATATATATATATATATATATATATATATATATATACACACACACACATATATATATATATATATATATATATATATATATATATTTTATATAATAGGTACATATATATATGTGTGTGTGTGTTTTGAACAATAGGTAAATATTAAAAATTTTCAAAAATAAACATTTTCAGACACACTGGGTTGTATATTAATATTTTTTGTTTTGTTATGTCATTTAGGTTCCTCGACTAGTTTCGGACAACATGGCTATCATCAGGAGAAGAAAATCGTAGGCGGAAATAATTTCTGCTTGTTAGTAGCAGTGAACTACAGAAATGAATAACATTTTATGAAGAAATTGAACTTTATGTATAGTTTTTATTTTTATTTTTTTATTTTGTTTTATTTTTTGTCGTTAATTTTGGTCGGCCCTTGTGTTGGTCAAACGGCCGCTTTTAAGTTGTTATTTTATTTTTATTTTTTTAAGAGGCTGGGGAGATTCATAAGTCCATTCTTGGTTATTTTGACAGTTTTATTAGTTGCTAGGAGTGAGATGTGTGTGTTAAGTGTATGTATGAGTGTATATGATGATGTCTAAATTTTGATATATATATATATATATATATATATATATATATATATATATATATATATATATAGAGAGAAAGAGAGAGAGAGACTGATGGCGGTGGGAATTTTGGCATACTCAATGAATTCAATGTCCACAAAATCTTTCTCAGGATAAAAATTCCAGCTTCCATTTACATCGTACTGAATTATTTTATCCTTTGATCATGGCAGCATTTTTTATGTCAATGTTGTGGTCAGTCTCGTTATGGTTGGCAACCAAAGCATTTGATGTGTTCTTTTGTAAAATGTCCCTTTTGTGTTCATATAATCTTTTATTTAGATACTTTGAGGTTTCTCCTATGTATCTTTTGTGACAATTATTACAGGCGATGGAGTAAACTCTTCCTCCGTTTCGAGAGTGCCTTGATCGCAAGGTCATCTACAGTAAATTTGTGCCCTGGCTCTTACAACATTTCACCATTCCTGGCAGATCTACTAATAACATAGTGTGGGTAACTAGTAACAAAAGTGATGGAAATAAAAAGAATTTTTTATAAATAAAAAAAAACTCTAAATGAATTCGGGTGCAAAAAAAAATCTAAAACTACCAGCGTGTGTAGTCCTAACAACATAATACATAATATAATTAGTCTGATGACGTCGAAACACGTCACAATTAAACATTTTACACTTTGTCATAAAATTTCCCCCTATATATATATATATATATATATATATATATATATATATATATATATATGGAAAATGTCATAAATTTTTAATATACAGGTATCCACAAAAATTTGACATCAGTTCGCAGGCCAATAATTTTGGCAATTCTTGTTGAAATAACCTAAAATTTCACAGAATGTATAGAATCCGATCAAGATTTTATATTTAATGTCGTATTTTTGTTTTGTTTTCAGGTTGAGCCATGCCATTCATTCCCAAAGAGAAGTCATATTACTTCTTTTAATATGCTCACACACAGTCACCCAAGACTGGGCAGCATGCCTTCAATGCAAAATTTGAAAAAACTTTACCAAATGGCAAACAAATTTGGATTTGGTACCAAAACTTTAAAAAGAGGAAGACTGCTTATCCAGGTCTAAATGATCTGGCAGACCATCATCAACATCATCGTGTTTGGCAAGAGCTTAACTACCGACTTGACGTGTGCCATGTCACAGGCGGTACATATATTGAATACTTATAAAATCGATCCCATAATAAACTTAGGATGTTCAACACCTAAAATGTTCAATTTCATTGAGGTAGACTTAGTAGTTTTTGAGATAATTGCTTTTAAAAATGATGCCCAATTTTTTAGGAAATCCTAAATAACGAAAATGTTTGGACTCTATACCCCAATATTTTTTAATTTAAATTTCTCAGTCTACTCTCCCCTTCGTCATAGGTCTCTCTCTCTCCCCTATATATATATATATATATATATATATATATATATATATATATATATATATATATATATATATATATATTGTTATCCACAGACAGAATCTTTAGCTGTATAACAGATCTTCAGTGTAGGATCGAACCGGCTGAATTGGTTTGTAGTCGGAGATTCTACCACTAAGCCGTACGGCAGGGTTGAAGGTGGATTTTAGCCTATTATTTTTAATTTATTTAAAACACAGTGACTGAGAGAATTCAATTCGCATTACCGAAGAATTTTGCTATAATATCCGTAATAGTCACTGTTTAAAAATCCACACTTCCTCCCCCAGAGAGCTCAAACGAAATAATTTTTTCAGGAGAGAAAATTAGGGGAGCAGATCCTTATAAATTGTTAAATATAACAGCCAATGAATTTCTATTATGTTTGATCATGAGCCATTCTAAACTTTGTATAGTTTCTTTAATTTCGGGTGAAAATA